AACAGGATGCTGACACCTGCTCCACATCCCGCTCCCTCCCCTGGGATCTCCAGTCCTCCCTGAGCATCCCCAGCCAAAGGGGTATCACACCCACCGGGACTGGGAAGCCTCTCCTGACCTCTCATTCTGTGTGCTATCTTTCCTCTCAGACATGTCCTTGCTGTCCAGGTTACCACATGGTGGCAATGGTCCCCAAAACTAGGACATCCAAGGGCAGCTGCCTGGCCTCATGGCCACTGTAGCACAGCGCCTAACAATTCAGAATCTTTTGTAGAGATTCTTGTCTGACATGTGTTTAGTCTTAAATGTGTCTTTGCCTCAAGGTAAAAAAATAAAATTTTAGGACCAGATGGGGATTCAATGCTAAAATTCAATGCTCTGCAAGGCTGACCCACGTGAAAAGGTTCCGGGATTGTTTGCAGAGACCTCCCTGAGTACACTGGGCATGCTCACGCCCAATGGGGCGGGCTGAGGCTGTAGTGTTGGGATTCTGTAGGGGGTTCTGTCTCTCCATCTCTCTTCTTTACCTTTCTCTCTCACTCATGGAAGGAGCAGATAAATGACTTTAAAACATCTAAAAACTTTATCTACTGTATTATCAAAATAGCTCTGCTCACTTTTCTACCTCCCCATTTATGCTATAAAAAGAAAAAAGGGGACCAGCAGTTAGTGTAATGGCTGTGTCGCTGAACTCCCACATAGTCAACTGAAGTTCGAGTCCCGGACCTGGTGGCTTAAACTCATGCTGGATGCGTGTGCGTGCGTGCCCAAGATCCCAAGAGGAGAATGGAGGAAGAAGGGATTGTGGTATGGCCATCCCCCCCAGGGGGGTGAGTTCTTGCTTTCTGTCTCTGTCTGTCTGTGTCTTTCCGGTGAGCGCACGCGCCCTATAGCAAAAACCTCTCCAAAAAAAAAAGAAAAAAGCAGGTTCACTTAAGAGGCTCTCTAAGGATTGTGATAATCTAAACCCTCCACCAAAAGTAATCTGATAAATATTTAAAATAAAAACTGCAGACACTGCTGACAGGACAAAACTAATGTTTCACTAGATGAAGATTGTGCCTTCAATGCAATCCAAACAAAATGTCCGTTACACACTAATCCTTTGTGCCTTCACTTTAAAACGATTCTACCTGCCTCTTGATTAACTTTCAAGCTTCACGCTTCTGTTTACTGAAAAATGACTCCCTGAAATGAAAAACGGACTTGGCTTTGCAAGTTTTTTCTCCCCCCAACCCCCTCGTCTCAAGCTGTGTTGCTGTTGTTTAGTGAGAAGTAGAGTTTTCTGTTATGTTTTAATAAGAAAGAGAACAATTTGTGCCAAAAGACAGCTGATATTTGGTGTTTCCTAAGTTCTCTCACTTTTGATTCTGTGCCCAATCACGTTCAGTCTTAACTGGGAAATAAAGCAGTGACCACAGCTTACGTCCTTTACCTGCTAGACTCAGGCCAGGCGTGGGGCATACTATTTACCAGCCCTGCCAGCACGGAGTATGCATCCCACTTAACAGATGGAGAACCCGGGGCTCAGCAGGTTTACGTGACTTGCCTGAGGTTGGCACACTGAAGGTGCCTGCTGTCACGCTCAGGTCTGCCTGGGTGCGAAGTCTGAGCTCCCAGCCTGCACTGTACAGTCACCGAAACACCGGTGGGGGCAAGGAGGGACGGGGCGGAGTGGACGTCAGCCAGGAAGGAAAGCCGGCATGAGGCTGGTCTGCAGCCTCCTCACTGTCCTGCCATGGCACGCCGATGGGCCTGCTTCACTAGCAGAACCTCCTCCTGCCACAGTGGGAAGTCTGTGGACAAACTGGAGGGAGGAGCTGTCGTTAGCAGAACTCGCTGTGCCAGAGTTAGACACGTCAGTGAGGGGGCGTAGGAGGCAGGAAGATGTTAGAAAATCGCAAGGAGAGGCATTCATAAAATCTAAAAAACAGCTCAATGGGCCCGCTATGTGGCAGTGACAACGAGAGCTCTTTGGTGCGTTTTTCCAAGGGGCTTTCAGCATAGGATAACATCCTCCTGGGGGGAAAATAAGCATTTTAATATCCTGCTAAGGAAATAAGATATCTTCTGAGCAACAAGAAACTGACACTCCAGTCATGGCCTGGTTAGGTAACAGCCAGACTACCCTAAGGAAGCCTGAGCCCACCCCGAGGCTTGCTGGCTAAAGACCATGACCCTTCAGACCAGGAGACCCTCCCACTACCACAAAGACCCCTTCCCACCAGATCTCCCCTCAAGGGAGCGACCTCCGAAAAGGCACATTTCGGCAAGCTTAGACAGACAGACAAACTAGTCGGCAGAGAACACCTGCACTGTATTTGCTCACTCCGAAAGTGTTTACTGGGCATCTGCGATATACATGCCAGGCGGCGGTCCAAACGAACAGCGCATGGAGCCGCACGCACTTCCATGTGACACGCAGTATAAGCACAGAGGCCGAGAAGAGAAGCAGAGCAAGGATCTACTAACGCGGAAATTTCTGTTCGCTTCCACAAGGACAGTTTCAGTAAGTGATCAGTGGGGTGCAGAAAAGACTGCGAGTTTGGGAGAAAGTGGGGACAGCACATACAGGCAGATGTCTCACAACTCCAGAGATGAGGTGACAGCTGGACACCGGTGCGTGGAGTCCAGAGTAGAACCAACACTTATTTATATGTCGATGGGAGTCATACGGTAGAAAGAAAAATGCACGAAATGCATTAGGAGGCACTTCCCACTAATGCACCGAGAACAGGAGAATAAAAGCCACAGGCAGAAAATAATGACTTGTCGGTGTTAGCAGGCTGCGTGGGAGTTTTCCTCACTGTCCTTGACGTCGGAGGAGGGGATTGTGGGTGTAAGGGAATGGCAGCAGAAGGACATTATAGGGGTCGAGGTCTGTGCCTCCACGTACCCTCAGGGCCTGAGGGTGGGCCCAGGGCAGAGAGCATGTGGCTGAGGCTAAAAGGAGGAAAGAAAAGCCATGATTCTGCTGTGGGACAGTTACCAGGCGCCAGTGAGTCAGCAGTTACCTCCTGGTACACGTTTTAAACTGGCACAGCGGCAAAGCCCAGCAACTACAGCAAGCTGCAAGTCTTCATTTGCTAGAAGTCTCCTGCCAAAAGCAGAACCGAGGAAGAAAGTATTGCTTCTGTGAATCTGAAGTCCACCAATGGGAAATCAGACACGACGGGAAAATAAACTCCCAGTTCACGGTGTGTAAGAGCTAAGGAAGGGATTCGCTGATTCCTCCGTCATTCAACAAATACTGACCGAGGGCCGCCACATGCCAGGCACGGGGGATGCCAACGTGGATGGAGCACACACAACGCCTGGCCTCTGGCATCTGCGGACGTTCCCACACCTCCCAGACAACAGGCCGCGCAATTCGGAGTCCAGTTAGTGAGATTTTATGGGCGGGTTCTAAGGGACAATGTGGATTGTGCTCGTAAGAAAAAGGGGCTTGTATGGCAAAGTGCGCACAGTTTGGGGCGAGCCAGGGTGAGTTCTGCTGGCTCCACCATGCACCCTGTCTGACCCACCTCTAACCTTCGGTTCCTTACCTCTGCCAATGCGTGTTAACCACTGTCTTTTATTTTTTAATTTTTTTTTGCTAAAGCACTTGCCAGACAAAGAGGGAGAGGAGGAAGCACAGTCACTCCACACTCCCTGCCCCCTCTCTCTTTTCAGGGATTTTGGGCGCACACAGGTACACATGCCCAGTGTGTTTCTCAGGCTACGGGGTCTTGGACTCAAGCCATGCAGTTGACCAGGTGGGACCCAGCATCCTTAATCATTATGCCATGGAGCCAGCTTGTCACTGTCTTCTTTTATAAACTGGAGAAAATACTCTCACAGGAATGTCACAGACTACAACAGACTATAGAGACAATTTATGGATTAAGAAAAGGAAGAATGTTTGCACAATTAACAACTGTCGAAAAATGGAATTACAGTTAGACATCCTTAATCATGGGGTTATGTTCTTAAAAATATGTCTTTAGCTGATTTCGTAATTACGCAAACATCAGCGTGTACTTGCATGACCCTAGATGGCAGAGCTGACTGCACATGCAGGCTACATGGCAGAGCCTGCTGTAGTTTCAGGGGACCGCCATTGTGTATGCTGTCCACTGATGCAGGACATCCTACGTGGCATAGGACTGAACCAGCTTAGGGAAGAAGTGAGCCTTTCACTTTAGGAAAACTTCAAGCAGGGCAGGCTTCATGTCCAACCAAGACGTTTCAGAGAGGACTCCTATAATGAGTGGAAAGGTGTGGCAGATGAATGTCAAGTTCTTTCTTGTAAGTTTTGTTTCTTTACAATTTCTTCTTGTCTAGGTTGAATTTGCTATTTTCTTTTTTAAAAATGTTACTTATTTGTTTCTTCTGTGAGAGAGAGAGAGAAAGAGAGAGAGAAGACCTCAGACAGGGTCTCAGATGTCTCCACCCACCCCTGGATCAGAGTCACATGTGTGCATTTGGGAAGGTCTACAGAAGCAAACCCAGGGCTTGCCCATGAGAGTCCGCCTCACAAAGCACAGTGCCACCATCTGGGCCCTGACTTGACCACTGCGTTGTCAACAAGTCACAATGCGCTTCTGCATAGAAAAACAGAAAAAATACATCATGACTTTTCCGACAACCTGATGTTTTCAAAGCATAAAGACATGAAGACAGAACAAGAAGACAAAAGAAAGACTTAAACTGTAATGAGGAACTAAAAAAATAAAAGAATGATTGCAATACAGTACATTAAGAAAAGTGACAAACTCTTTTGACAAGTGAATTAAGTGAAAAAAGAAACAGCGAAGAAGGGGGAGGCAGAAGTAAACTGAGCTAGATGAATAGAGGAGGGAGAGGAAGGGCAAGCAGACTCCCATCAGTGACAGGCAAGGGGACCTGGGTCACTGTGGTTCTACCACAGTCTTCCGTCTGCCTGTCACTCCTCATTGTCAAGTGAAGGATGTATGCCAGAACTCCGAATGTCCCTGTGGCCCTGAATCTCATGAACTTACATGTCTCCATGTTCAGAATGTACACAGCACTTCCGACGGTGCAGACTCTGGACTGTTGGGTGTGAGTTATGGGCTGACCAAAGAACACACTGGGTAGCAGCCATTTGTTGGATTAAGCCGGAGATGGTTGGTGTCTGGAGGTCCAGGGCAGCCTCGTGTGTCATCCAGAGTTGACGAGCCTACACTCACTGTGCTAAGAGTTCGTGTTCCATTGCATGTCAGGTGTCAGCTTATTTTTGAGACCACCCTATCCAAAATTCTTTAGAAGCATTTGATCAGGTGACTGCAGGCTGTCATCACATCATGAATCCCTCCAGTCAGGGCCAGATATAGCTGAGGAGGAGACTAGGGAGAGCTGCCCAGAGGATCCTGGGCATGATTACTGTTTCTCCAAACGCACGCTCAGATTCATGTACTTCCCCCTCCATTAGCTTAGAGGGGATCGAACTCTCTATGCCATTCTCCCTTCTTTATTGACTACAAGAGGAAGGGTATCGGATTTTTCTCTTTTGTCTAATAGCTTTAAAAATAGATGGAGGCCTTTCAAGGTTCAGCTATTTTACTTATTAAGGCATTCTGGATCATTCTCAAGGTTGTTTCTAGAATTTACTAAGGCTGAGCTTTTCTGTGTTTGCAAGTATATCTAGAAAGACATTTTGATAAATGAAGCCAATACAGCTATGATGAGTCGATGACTTTGATCAAGGTACAATTGATTACCAAAATGAAATATATCCTGGGAAGATAAGGAAAAAAAAAAGAAAAATATATATACAACAGTTACTGTTTATCCCAGAAAAAATAGTTCATTTCTAGAATTTGGACAAAGAACTATTCACTATTCGACTTCTCATTTTTCAATGCCAGCTTTTCAAACATTATGTTAAACAGCATAATATAGTGACCTACTTCCCCTGACACCTAAGAAAAGTGATGAGTCATTCCAAAATCCATTTCTCTCACTGTAGACAAAGACAAATACTTCCAGAATCATCCTTCTCTGGCAGATGGGAGAGAAGGTTCTTTTTATAAAATGCCCTCCTTCCTCCCAAAAGTTAATTTTTTCTGTAAAGCCTGTATTGAGTGTTCACTTATGACTGACTTTAATATAATTCTTGAGTTCGACTATCCAGTCAAATGGATAGAGAGATTTTTGCTATAGGGTACATGCGCTTGCTGGAAAGAGAAATCACCCACCTGGGGGATGGCCACGCCACAATCCCTTCTTCTCCATCTTGTTCTTGGGATTTGGGGCACGCACGTACATGAGCCTGGTGTGAGTTTCAAGCCACCAGGTCTGGGACTAGAATTACGGTAGGCCATGTGGGAGTCCAGCACCTTAACCACTATGCCACCTGCTGGCCCCAGACAGGAATCTTACAGTAGATTGAATATTCAAAACAGTGCCTTGCAGGGCACTAGGGAATAGAGTGATGTGAGGATCTCAGTGATTTTTCAACAAGTAGGCTTCTCTGAGAGAGCACTTGGTATGAAGGCTCTGTTCAAACAAAAGAAGATGCCAAGGCCCCTCACGGGTCACAGGGAGGGGTGTGGAGCATAAATGCACAGTGGACCTTGGAATCCTATTGGTCTACTCTGATTCTTGCCTCCCTGTCTTCTACCTCTGTGACCCTGGACAAAGAAACTCTATATTCTTTTATGTTCTGATCTGTTACATGGGACAAAAACTGCCTTCTTTGCAGGGTGATTGTGGAGGTCACATGGCAAAGGCCAGAAGGCATTAGCATGGGGACTGGCATACAGAAGGTATGAATTACAGTTTTATAGCAAAAGCGTTAGTTCTATGGAAAGTATTGTAAGTGCTTGGCATTGTCGGTAAATCGTTTTCTTGATCAATCTATCTAAACACACAACAGTTTACATTTTCCTGTAAAAAAGAAATGCATCAAAACAGAATCTGTATCTACAAAACATCTCCCTGGGATTACGAGAGGTGCTGCATTAAACCTGTTCATGCATCTGGGGAGACTCTGTATCTTTACTAAGTGGAGTTCATAAACACGGCTAAGCCTCTCCATTAATTAGACTTTTGATTTTTTCCTTCATCAGTGTTTTGTAGTTTTCAGCATATAAATCCTACATTTTTATTAGATTTACCCTTATGCATTTCATTTTAATGCAAGAGGACATGGGACACAGAGAGACAGAGAGAGATAGAGAGAGAGAGAAAACTTCCCAAGGGCTTGGTCACACCACACTCCCTTCTCTATTTCTCCATCCTGTCAGAATTTTGGCCATGCACGCACACACTCTCAATATCCTAGTGTGTTTTTCAAGCCACTAGACCAGGACTTAAACCATGGTCAGCCATGTGGGATCTGGTTCCCTTAATCACTGGATTAGCCTCACATTTTATTTTTTGAGCTATTATAAATGACACCTTATCTTTAATATCAGTTTCCACATACTCATTGCTAGTATACAGAACTACATTCAACTTTTATTTGTTGATCTTATACACTATGCCTTTGCTGGACTCAATTTTTAGCTCTAGGATTTTTTATTTGCTTTTTTGGGAGCAGATCCTTTGAGATTTTCTATGTATATAATCACGTCAGACAAGATAGACAAAGAAGCAGGTAAGAGAAAAGTGGGCTAAATAAATGTAGAAAGAGAAGAAGAAAAAGTATCAAGCAAAATTACCATCGGTTACCTGCGAACAAGGTTATTTAAAAAGTTATATGGAAAGGTGAAGGAACTATAGTAGCTAAAACAACTCTGAAAGGGAAGAATAAAGTGGGCAGAATCACTCTATTCAATTTCAAGGGTATTATACAGCTACAGTAATCAAGGATGGGTCTTGTGGAAGGATAGACACATAGATCAATGGAACACAATAGAGAACCCACACACAAGTGAAGCCAACTTACTTTTGACAAAGGTGCAATTTAACAGAGGGAGAATAGAGTTTTCTACAAATGGTGCTAAAGCAATTGGATAGCCATGGGTAAAAATAAGAACCAGGACCTTATACTCTGTATTTCATATCTTATACAAAACTTAACCCAGAAAAGATCACAGATGAAAACATAAAGCTATGGAATTTTTAAGAGCGAACACAGGAGAAAATCTTCAGGACCTAGGACTCGATAAAATATTCTTTTTGGTAAGTTTTGGCTATAGTGCATGTGTGCTTGCCAGAAAGGAGAGAGACAGTGAGAGAGAAAGTGAGAAATCACCCCAGGAGGGGTGGCTGTGTGAAAATTCCTGCTTTTCCATTCTCCTCCTGGGATTTTGGGCATGTATGCACATGTGCCCAGAGTGATTTTCAAGCTGTCAGGTCTGGAACTTGAACCACAATCGGCCACTTGGGAGTCCAGTGCCTTACCCACTACAACATGTGCTGGCCCCTCAATAAATGGTTCCTGAGGCCAGCAGGTGGCATGGCGTTTGGGGCAGTGGACTTCCACATGGCCGGCCATGGTTCAAGTGCCAGACCTGGTGGGCTGCTTTCTCACTTTCTTCCTCTCTCTCTCTCTCTCTGTCTCTCTCATGAGTGCACATGGCCCACAATAAATTTAAAAAAAAATAGCTCTTAAATATGACAGCAAAAGCACAATGGATAGAAGAAAATGTTGATAAATATGACACTGCAACTAAAATAGCTTTTCTCTCTGTGAAAGATACTGTCACACAGATGGAAGACGAGTAGCAGACTGGAGAACAAACACTGCAGGGTATGTATCTGAGGAAGAATCCGAACCTGGAGTATATTGAAAACTCCAAAACTCAACTTTAAAAAACCAAACAATCCATTTAGAGATGATCAAAAGACACGAAGAGACATTTCAACAGAGGACATATGAAAGGCAAATAAACACATGAAAACATGTTCAACATCACTAGCCAGGAAGATCTATCAAGAGTCATTAACAAACTATCACTACCCACTTGTTAGAGCAACTAAGATCAAAATAGTGATACACCAAATAAATGCTCACGAGGGTGCAGTTCAACTGGAATATGGCATGCAATGACAGGGGGAAGGTAGTACAGTACAGCCACTCTGTGAAGCAGTTTTTTGGCAGTTTCTTGAAAACAACACTAAATACAAACTTATCACAGAACCTCGCAATTGCATCTCTGGGAATTTGCTACAGAGACATGAAAATGACATTCGCACAAAATGTGTATACACTTGTTCATGACAGCTTTATTTCTAACAGTCCAAACTTCGGAAAAACCCAAATGTTCCCGAATAGGCAAATGGCTACATAAACTGTGGTATATCCATAACCGTGGAAAGACACTCAGCAATGAAAAGGCATGAACTATTGACACCTGTAACAACTGGTATGGATCTCCAGGACACCAGCTGCATGGGAAAGCCAATCAAAAGTCACACACTGCACGATTCCACTTACATGTGACATTTTTGAAGTGATAAAATTAGAGAGAGGGAGAAAAGACAAGTGTTTGTCAGGGGATAAGGTCCCGAGTCTACCTGGAGAGGCTAGCGCAGGGAGATCTACGTGTACGGAATAGGACCCTGGGTGTGGTGGTGCTGCTGGTTACATGACTCTACACATGTGATCACATGACACAGAAACCTACGCACACATCATACCCATGTCAAGCTCCTGGCTTCAACACTGTTCCATAATTAGACAGGATATAACCACGGGGGCAGGGGTACTGGGTGACGGCACATGGGTCTGCTCAGCTTTCTTTGTAACTTCCTGTGAATCTAGTCTTTGAAAATGAAAACTTAAAAGAAAAGCCTAAGGGGAAACTCCCCACACAATCTGCTCCCTAACTAAATAATTATGATTTTGAAAAATAACAGAAATCAACATGTTTGTCAAAACATTCTACATTCACATTTCTCCAGTTTTAACTAAAGATCTTACGTGGAGAAACAGGCATTTGCACTTCTCATATTCTAATAAGAAAGCAACCTAGGCTCAAATTTTGGCCTCAAAAATCAGAAAAGTAAAACGATGTTTCCTAAAATGCTCCAAAGTCCCACTAAAACCTTTTCTGGACAAGGTTCCCTTACTATGGTTCAGAATATGACACGGACTGGAATATATTATTCAAATAGCATTGAGGCCACAGGGCGCTGTCATATGAAGTGTCTGAGAGGACAGATTAGAAGCAAAAGAAACTCAGTATAGTCACAGTATTCTTTGAAACAGTTTCTCAATAATATTTTCATGCAAAAATTCCAGGGCTGCCTCTATGGCACAGTGGCAATGTGCTACTCAAGGAAAACCAGATGGCACACGGCCATCGTGATTTGAATCCCTGACTTGTCCAACCTGAAACACACAGGGC